GCCCAGTGCCCCTCCAGACCTGCCACAAATGCACAGCATCTTTCACACCACCACCCTTGTCCAGCACCCTCTTGCCCATAGTCTCACCACTGCCCAGCACCCCACACAGAACACCTAGTGTCCTAACACAGAGATTTTTCCAGCCCCTCACAGCCCAATACCCTCACTCAGGCCCTCCAGAGACCCACTCCCTCACATCCGCCCAGTGCCCCTCCAGACCTGCCACAAATGCACAGCATCTTTCACACCACCACCCTTGTCCAGCACCCTCTTGCCCATAGTCTCACCACTGCCCAGCACCCCACACAGAACACCTAGTGTCCTAACACAGAGATTTTTCCAGCCCCTCACAGCCCAATACCCTCACTCAGGCCCTCCAGAGACCCACTCCCTCACATCCTACCTCCCAGCCACACTCATCAGCCCTTTGGGAGGTGACAGTATCTGCTGGGCTGAGCTGCCACTGCAGCCAGGGTTGGTCCTAGCTTGGGGAATCGCCCTGGCCCCTAGGGAATGGTGTGATCATCCAGGCCAGGGCTTACCCTGGCCAAGTTTCCTCAGGGCACACTTGCCGAGGGGGCTTCAGCCACCCCCAACAGGCCAGGCTTCTGCACAAGACCCAGATGACTCAGTCCCAGGAAAATAGGTGGGGCTCCACAAGTGGTGGGAACCAGAGACTGCCCAAAGATAAATGTGCAGGGGGTCCAGCCAGAAGGCAGAGAAAAGCTGGTGGGTGGGACCAAGGCATGGAGAGAAGCTTTTGGTTGGCTGGCTGGCAGGCAGGTCGAGAGGAGCAAGTGGTGGATGGGATTGGATGGAGCCATCAGGCTTGTGAGGTCTCAGAGTGCACTGTAAGCAGAGCAGGCCAACGCCTGTTCTGAACATGGGCCCAAGTCCATGGCCCCACTGGCACCATCGTAAACCTGGAAATGGATATTGTAGAGGCCTGGCAAGGTTCTGCCTTCCCAAATGGCCTGATGTGGTTTTGCCAATGCACCACCTCCATGCTCCCTCCTGCCTGCTGTTCCTTTTCAGAGGCTAGGTCAGGCACGTTGGGGGCTGTGCCACTCACACAGCCAGTCCTTCTGGCTCTGGGCCTGCTTCAGCTGTGCCACCTGCCCAGCACTGGGGCTGGCAAGGGACCTTCATCCACAGGGGGCCAGGCTGGCTGGGGATCAAGCTGGGTGGTGTAGCCTGGGGTGGCTGGGGATGCACCTCCCTGTGCTGTGGGGTGAGGAGAGGTGGGGGGTGGTTATCCTGGGGGCAGAGGCTAATGGTTACAGGCAAGAGGGGGACTAGGAGCTCTGCACAGGCACCAGCAGCCATAGTGGGGGCTAGGCTCTGGTGGGCCCAGAAGGGGTAGGGCTGGAGGGCTCCATAACTCAAAGATTCACTCAACACCCATGGTTAAGGGACCATTTAATTGCTGTGTACATGTTTAGGCTCAGCCTACAGGACTCTTGTACGGATAGGTGATGAATCCCTGGGTGCTCTGGGGAAAAAATAGTGAGTGTTCAGAACCCAACAGAAACCAAGTTCTCCCTAGCAACCTGTGCTTCTCACCCCCAGCAGCTCCACTGACCAACTCCTTCCCCTTCCTCCCAGTTCCTCCTGCCCACTGCAAAATAACTCTTTTACAGAGTTTGGATGCTCAGGCAGGGAGTGGGCGGAGCAGGGATGGGGCGTGTTTTGGGGGAGGAGTTGGGATGGAACAGGAGTTAGAGAGAGTGGAGGTGGAGGTTGAGAGAAAGGGTGGAATAGGGGTGGTGTAGGGCAGAGTAGGAAAGGGAAGAGGTGAGATG